TGTAGCCCTCAGTCGGCAAATGCACTTTGATTTACATAAGGAGATCAGAGCTTCATTTACTAATGCACTGGCAAATCTGGGCCCCACTGCTCCCCTTTGGCCGTCAGCACGCAAGTGCCCACCTTAGCTACGGGGACGGGGCATGCAGGACCACAGGATGATGTCCCAGCACATCCCAAGGATCATGATACTCAGCTGGGTGCATGCACACAGCAGCCTCATTCCTTTCCTCAGACTCATGAATCTTTCCAGTCTGCTCACAACTCCTCCGTGGTTGGCACCCTGGGACGCTTAATGCTGCAGGATGGCATAACCGCTGCACCAGAAGGTTTTGGACCCTGACATCTTTTTGGACCCTTTCAGACTCAGGCAGGACCTTGGGTGTCATTAAACTTCAGGAGGGACTGCTTGGGGTACAGGACAAACAGGGACACATCAGCCTTTCCCTCCTGCTCACCACTGATCCTGTCCCCCTAAAACTTCACTCAGGACCTGCAACTATCACAGTTTGGGGATTTCCATCCCCACACTTCTGGAGACAGGAGAGAGGCAGAGAGGTTGCTATCATTCCTGTTCTCATACCTGAGGGTTTCCTGCCAGCAGCCAGGTCACCAGCCATAGCAGCACAGCCACGTGCCGACTGAGGAGCTGGAACAGTTCTGCCAGGTCCCCCACAGAGCCCATCAGGCTGTCCCCTCTCCCACTCTGCTCTCCTGCAAGGGATGATGAGGAGAAGGGCGTCACCTGTATCGCGGCACAGCCCAGGCAGCCAGGCACCCTCTCCACTCCACTTCCATTTGCAACAGTAACTAAAAGCGTAGAAAAGGAGCATCTGAGCCTCCCAGCTCTGTGTTCCAAGATGCACCCAAGCATATGGACATGAGTATGTGCTGAGAGAAGGGAGGTACCCTCAAAACCAAGATGAAAAAGCCTAACTAGACTGCTGTGTATGAGGAAACAGCGAGTGGTGCCTTGCGGGCTGTGTATGAGGAAAGAGCGAGTGATGCCTTGCAGGGGATTAGGGAGAGGTGATGGAAGATGTCCTCATGTGAACGCTCTGCTGATGCTAGCCTGTCCCTGCTGAAATGGCAGGAGGCAAAGAGCGAGACCATTGGGGGCCCTCCCTGCATCCTCCCCTGGGAAATCCCTGCCATGATGACAAAATTAAGAAACAAATTACTTTATAGGTTTTTCAGTGTATGAGTAAATCTTGTTATGTCTTACAGACGGTGCTGAGAGTGCTCGGATTAGATCAGCAATCTTCCGCTGGCTCCGACTCCGAAGCCTCCAGCTGTAATCCCTGCTGGCAAACCTGCTGGGAGATACCCTGGGACACAGCCTTCCCAGGGCAGCCCATGGCACTTTGTGTCATCATTGTCCTGAGAGTAAGCCATTATGGACTTCACAGCATTTCCTCTCATTCCCAATGGGTTTTGCAGAGCCTTCGTCACACTGGGGGCCACCCTGGGACTCTTCCCATCCAGCTCACGTTCTGGGGTGACCACAGCCAACATCCAGGATAGCTGCTGGAGCTGAGGGTGACCTCCCATGTCATGGGGTACCCCAGGAAGGCTCCCAGGGCTGACAGCTGGAGCCACTTGGACAGAGGGGGGCAGATACCTCACCAGGAAGTTTTAGGTATGTGCTCCTGGGGCATGGGGGAGGTAAGCCAGGGAGGAAGGCTGCAGGCAACCATCACTGGATGGCCAAGGTGTGACCCCAGGGCTCAGCTGGCTGGGCTGCAGCCATCACAGGGGTGTGATGCACACGGGTGGCACATTAGACCAGAGCAGTTGAAGTCCAGCCCATCCATGACATGCTGCCCTATTTCCTCCTCCAGCAGGGCTTGGCAAGCTGCAGGGTGCTTTGTCTCCCTGCAAAGTATGTACAGGACCCTTGGGCCCCTGGCAGCACAAAAAGGAACATTTTCGGCCATGAGCCACTTGAATTTCTCGTCAGTGTGTACAGAGCCTCGTCCCAGCATCACTTCAGGCTCCCTAAGCACAAGAGAACCTGCTCCAACCTTTGTAAGCTTCACTCTCCACCCCAAACCTTCTGCCATTATCGGAAGCCGCAGGAGAGGGGCCAGGGCAGCTCACGGGTGATGCTACCCCTTGGAGCAGGGAGAGAGCATGGCTGGTGACCAACTAAAGGCCTGATGCTCCCCAAGATCCAAACTGATGTACTGGGCACCAGCACACCATGCATCGTCTGGTCCTCGTATACACACAGGTGTATATATATATATGTGTGCAGGGACTTGTTTTCTGCCTTTTATCCCTGGGTGAGCACATCTGCTTCTCATGGGAAATAATTTGTTTGGGGCTGCAGCAGGTCTTTGGGGTGGCTCTGTCCCTCCCTTTTGGCTCTGGGCAACATGCCCAGAGAGGCTGCACATTCCCCTCTCCCCACACATGCCTAACATGCCTCTGTGTTTGTTCTCATGCCTGTGTGTGCATTACCCTGGCAGCTCACCACTGCTTCTTCTGGTCCTTCCCGTCATGTGCATGTGTTTGTTTGCCTTTCCCCAACTCTCTATCCCTGTTTGTATCTCCATCCATTACAGTAACCCTCTATACCATTCTCATTTCTCAGCCTGTGACCTTAGTGGCTCTGAATTTCCCACCCATTGCCTGCTGCTGCTGTGCCCACACAGCTTTAGTGAGAGGGGCCAGAAGAGTAAAGCTGAGGAGAGGAAACCTCATGGGGTGCTGCCTCTCAGCTACCCCCCTCCCAGCTCCACACCCCAGGAAGGAGTGGAGAGAGCAACAGGGAACTGAACAGGAAGATGAGGAGGAGGTAGAGGACTTGCAGGAGGATCCTTGCAGGTGGCTCTGATTCTTGGCAGACCTCAGGGGACAACCCCCACCTGGAGCAAACCGCACAGGTAAACCAGACAACTCTCCTCTGACAGCTTTTGCATGCCCAAACCATTGCCCTGGCCATATCCTGCAATGTCTGCCGAGGTCTGTGGGACTGCTGAGCCTGTATCAATCCAAACAAATCAACACTCACATGCAGCTCATGGTGGACCCCATCACAGATATCACAGAGGAGCCTTTGGTGCTGCTGGCTTGTGGCTGTGCCAGGGCTGAGCCTGCCAGGCACACACTGCATGGCTACTACAGACTGGGGACCAGGGGTCTGCATCCCAAATCCCAACAGCCCAGTGCTGCAGGTGTAGGCATAGCAAGTGGCTCTAGCTGCACCCTTCTCTCTCCAGCTCCTGTAAGACATGTGGGGAAGGGATGCTGGACTCACAGGGGGTGGTACTGCGCTTAACTTTGTGAGAAGTCCCATTCCTAACCACAGTGGCTTTGGATGGGATTTACCTTTCTGCTAAAGGGCAGGATCTGGCCCTGGACTGCCAACCTGCTCCAGAAAAGGCCTTTGCAGGTGCTATGGGACAAGCAAGGTGCCCTACCTGGGTACAGACTGGGGGTAAAGCAGGGCAGCCCTGGCTCCTTGGGACCACCCTGCATGGCAGGAAGAGAGCAGTGCTGAGGGTGAGCCCCTGGGCAGAGACCTCAGGGAAGAGCAAGGCAAGGACAACCTTCCTGAAGCCTCCTGAGGGGGACGAGCTGGCTTGGGATGTGTGGCTGCAGACCAGGGGAATGGCACATGTGGGAGCATTGCCCCAGGGGCATCTTTCCCAGGGAGCATCCCTCCCAGACCTCCAGGAGCATCTTCCCCAGGGAGCATCCCTCCCAGACCCCCAGCAGCATCTTCCCTAGGGAGCATCCCTCCCAGACCCCCAGGAGCATCTTCCCCAGGGAGCACCCCTCCCAGACCCCCGCGAACATCCCTCGCACCTCTATCCGGTCGATGCGGTCCTGAAGGGTGCGGACAGCCTCCTCCAGCTCCCGCACGGCGGGCGGCTCGTCGGGGGGGTG